TGTCTCACTATCATTCACAGACAAGAGAAATGTTTGAAATCTGTGTTCAATGACAATTAAAACCTTTCACAAGTTTTGTTCAAACAAGATTCATCATTTCAACATCCCAAAAATATATTAATATTTTAATATTCCCCAATACGACATATTCCTTTTGTCATATTTCAATATCAGAAGCAGAGAGATTTCAACAATGATATAAAGTGGTTGTGGCACTAGCCTTTGAAGGCCATTATTAATGACAAACTTCAGAAATTTCAAATCAAATAGATTTCTTTGTTGTAAAAAAATGCATCAATTTTACCAAATTTTCATATCACTGTCTCCAGGAATGCTTCCTTGCTGCCAAATCATCATTGATTGCCAAAGGAATATAAAGATTCTTCAGTTTGATTAAGATTCTGGTGATCGAATAATTGTAGGCGAGAAAACGAAAACGTGTGAGTCGAGTTGTCAATTATAATCAGCCGGACTGGCTGATTCGGTACTTGATCTATCAAGCTAATGTAGGATGGCTACAGACAAAGACTTTGGCCTCTGTGAACCCATGCTGGTGTTAGTCTTTATACTGTATAGGCGATGAAAAAGGATTGGATTTGTTGGCGTTAATCTGCAGATTCCAGTATTGCTCATCTGTGGTATGATTGTCTCTGAGGGACGTTAAGTGTTGGGGAAGCTGGTTAAGGCATCTTCAAAGGATGTAAGTGGCATCCTTGTAGATCTGTCAATGGAGTATCATCATTGTCCCATATATTCCAGTCAGGTCACGGCTGTCATCATGTCGTGAACAGATCATGAACAGATGCTGACCAAAGAGTAACAAAGGCTCCAGTGCTATTAGTTCAGTTAAGGATGTATCAAAGAACTTGAAGCTTTGTAAGTCTTTCATAACTATTCTTAGTAGGTCAATTAAAAACATCATTAGAACATCTGGTGTGGGTTTGGTTCTTGGAATTTAACAAAAATGATCAGACGATGAAGTTTTACTAGAAAGTGTATTCTGTCAAGGATATATATAATGCTTGAGCAATTAACTAATGTTTATTTGACCATGGTACCTTAAATAAGAACGATATAATCAGAACCATAGATTTAAGAAAGTTAGAAATGAAATATACGTTTTCATCTTTAGCCTACTTAAAGCCAAAACAAGGAATGGGCTCTTGGTGTCAGGTGTGAGGTTAGGGGTGTAGGTGAGGGTACAGGGTCATGGGTGTGGGGATAAGTAAAGGGGTTGGGGGTAGGGTGGGCATGAGGTTATGGGTGTGGGTTTGAGGCAGTGGGATTAGGTGAGGATACAAGGTCATCAGTGTGGGGATAGGTTAACGGTATTGGGGGTAGGGTGGGCATGAGGTTATATATGTTGGTTTGCAGGGGTGATGCAGGGTACCGGTAGGTATAGGCTTGATGAGGTGGGGTAGCTGTAGGTCTAAGGGTGTGGAGATTTCAGGGGTTGCAGGAAGGGTAGGGGGGAGCTTAATTCTGTAGAGATGGATATTAGGTCACTGGTATTTGTGTAGGTTGAGGGAGGGGGGTAAGGATGAAGGGGTGGCTTAAGGAGGGAGTATGAAGTCCATCTAAGATTATGGTTACAGGTATTGGTTTGAGTGTGCATTTTGAAGGTTAGGGGTCACAGGGTCGGATCCAGAATTTTGGAGAAGCACCCCACCCCTGGATCCGCCCCTGGGTCAGGGATATGGGTATAGAAATGAACAGCTTTGTGTGGGTATGAGGTCATGGGTGATAATGAGGTCATGGACAATGGTACAGATATAGGTGTATGCGGTAGGGGTGCTTATGGGTTTTTGAAACCAGGGTAAACAAAGTGTTAATGATTGTATGGAGAGGCAGAAAGCAGTAAGATATCTTCCAGTAACAAAACATAAGGTCAAGTAATAGCATATAAATCAAGCTGTAAAATGTAATGATTAATTATCCCCTGTACCGAGTAGACGGCAGCTACGAGGCCAACAATGCATGTTTGGTGCTGTGTTACACACAGGTAATGATGCATGATAATTTGAAAATAGCACAAACTGCATCACGATGCTCTCCGCAATGTTGAGGCAATCTGGCCACGTTTAGTGCTGAGTTATTGACCAATGTCGACCACTTGCCAAGTCTCAAGGTTCTGCCAACAGTACAAAGTCATAAAGCCTTGAATGCCAGACGGACATGCTGCCCTGAATCTCAGCATCAGCACCAGCAGCAGCAGCCTGAACAGACAAATATACATCTCCTGCGTCCATGACTTCATTTTCTGGAACCACAGTCTTTCACAAACTGCAGATCACGTTCAAATCAATATCACGGAAAATAATATCAGAGCTCATAAAAAAGCCATGTTCTGATACTGTGACGATGATGCAAATGTTATAAAAATGATATAGAATATTTCATTACGAGATGGATATGAAGTCTGGCGTTTCTATCTGTAGAAAGTATTTTATTGTTTGGGCATGTATGGAAAAGATGAATTATATGGCAAGGGGGGTAAATGTCTTGTTCTGGAATTAAAGTGCATGCATCCATGAGAATATATACCGATGCCAGACATTTCATTAGGAAATCAGGCCACCTTTTAATCAAGCCATTTATTAATCAGGTCACTTCTTAATCAGGTCAAAAGGTTCCTGTGAAGTTTAAATGAGATACAGAGCTCGTAACATGGCCATTGCTGCTGGAATCACACAGAGCGATAAACATTTTCACCGTGTCGCCGTTTCACCAGGTTGAATCAACATCCGCGTTTTACAAGCGATCGAAGTACACTTGCTTCGGGTTGAGAAATAATCAGATTTTTTTCTCCTTCAAAGAACACAGACATTACAGCTCCCGTGAGCCACAGACAGACACATCCGACCCCAACACATGCTGGTACATACGAGATCACCCAATACCTCGATGACCTCGCTTCATTAGCAGCTGGAGGTGTGTGTGAACACATTGCGGGGTTGTAATCAAAATACTCCATATTGGCCTGCCAAGATTTGCTCTCTGATACAGGGAATGAAAACAATCGTGTATTTTTTGTCAAAGTGATTCAGCATTTCTGAAGGATATGAACTCATGTTCCATATCGATAAATATCCTATTCTGGACAAAAAATTATATTGCACATTTGCTGATCATAAATCGCACACAAATGTATTGGGGACTGAGATATTGGGAATACTTTTTAAGTACGAGAGCGAGTTTAGTTTTACGCTGCTTTCAACAATATTCCAGCATGGCAGGGGACATCGGAAATGGGCTTCACACATTGTACCTATGTGGGGAAACGAAACCTGGGTCTTCGACGTGACAAGTGAACGCTTTTACCACTAGGCCACCCCACCTACTCTTTTTAAGTAAGAAGACTTTGTGCTGATGCATAGATCACTTACAATAATTCCTGTCATATTTATCGAATTATAAAACCATATTTACCAGATTGGTATAATTCATCGATAACACTTACATTAAATGATAAGATGTCTTGATAACAATATTTTGATAAGAAAAACATGTCGCACACCTTCGTGAGTTTGATTTGATAATGAAGGAAAATGCTATGTCATGTTTTTCTGTCTTTTTTCACCCTTATTGTCATGCAATGTCATGTCAGCATCATGACGTAGGTACAATGTTGAATTGATAGGTCAATATTTAAACAGCTTAATGTGGTTGAAGTAAATATTTATGCATGGTCTAGCATAACATTACTGTTTGGACAAACTGATAAAATCCTTAAAATCCTTATCTGTGTATCAGTTCTATGCTAATTATGTCCTTGATGGAATACATCTGTGAAGATGCGGCTTAGGATTGTCTTCAGCAACCTGTGCTTGTCATAAGAGGCAGGTAACGTGATTGGGTGTCAGGTTCACAGACATATAGCTGGAATATTTCTGAGTGCAGTGTAAATAAACAAACAAACATTTATGGCATACCGAGCAAACACAAATTAGAACTGAAAAGGTAAACAATCTTGTCTTCTGATGTTTAATTGCAAATTTGACGTCTTTACTGACAAAGTCGTCTTCTCTTGTTCATTCAGGTGAAGAGATACAATGTCATTTTCTTACCACCAGAAAAAAAACGTTCAACCAACGTGTATCCTGTAGTTAAGCTGACTCCTGTCTACAGGCTGCTATTTTGGGTCCTCAAAATTCAGCTTATCTACACTAATATATGGTAATGCTTAAAGACTTCTACTGGTATTGCTTTGTGAAATCGTCAAAGCTCATCCTTCTTATTTTGAGAGTTAAATTTAAAAGCAAAGCTTTTAGAAAATATCTGGGTAAAACAAGTTAAATCCTTTCAATGGACACTAGAAGCCTATTTCATAGTTATTTGCAGACACTCAACCTGGGTTGAACAAGGTACTGCTTACAAATTGAATATTCAGAGAACTAAACATATTGGGCAAATATTAAGCACCAAACTTACATGGAAATGAGTTGATATGTTTTTACCAGACATTTTGTCTGACAATCTTAAACACAGTTGATCCTTGGATGATTTGCTACAAAATCAAGTCATGTTCAACTGAAAATAGAGATGTGCCATCAAGGTTGTGTGGCTAGATATATTGTAATTGATCTGGCTGGCTACAGCAGTGGGTATACATAATATTGTTGCTTCAAATGCATTGTGGGCAACATGAGCTTACGGTACTCCTGTTGTATGTAGCCTTGTTGCTGTCTTCCCTTCCAACAAGGATACATTTGTGTTTTTCAGAAGGTATTTTCATGCACACAACTTTATGAAATATTAATGTTATGAAAATAGGTTATAATATGTTGAAATTACAACTAAGACACAAAGTGAAATTATTCCATGTTCCAGTGACAAGTTGTCAACGTGGCGTCAAAGGTTTCTCAACTAAAACTGAAGACGAAAACTAAAGGAGATGACCTTGACCTCACATGAGTTCAGTCAGGAGGTGACGTAGGTCATTTCATTCCAATTCCAGTTGAGAAGGGTTCACTGTCAAAGAATGTTATGAGAATGCCTACCTCCAAGCAACCAGCACCAGCGCCGATGTCCGCAAGTTCCAGAAGATCTGCCGTAAACTGGTCCGCCCATTCATGGACGCTGAAATATATAAATTCATTTTCCATGAACATCATAATTACACAATAAGTGAGACAGTTCTGACAAAAGCAACATGAGCAAAAGTTTAAATGAAATAAGTCTTTCTCCATAATGTCAACCGATCAGAGGAAATGATTGTAGAATCATTGTTCTTGCTATGGAATGAATGTTTGATCATTGCTCATCCTGTTGGATGATTGTGTGATTGTTGCTCTTGCTGCAGAATGATTGTTTTAACATGAATGCTAAAACATGATTGTTTGATCATGGTTCATACTGTGGAGTGGTTGTTTTATATTACATCACGTTGTTGAATGATTGTTTGAACATTGATGATGTTAAATATTATTTGATCATTGATCATGCAGTGGAAGGATTGTTTGATCATTAATCATATTGTTGAGGGACTATTTGATCATAAATTATGTTGTTGAGTGATTGTTTGATCAAGGCCTATGCTGTGGAATGATTGTTTTATCATTGATGATGCTGTGTGTGTGACGAATCCAGAACAAAATCTCCCCTGACAACCCCCCCCAAAAAAAAAAACACCCCAGACATTATCCCCCCATCCTTAACATAAAAAAGGACAAAATCCCCCCTGACAACCCCCAAAACACTCCAGACATTAATTCCCCTCCAATCCTTAACATAAAAAAGGACAAAATCCCCCCTGACAACCCCCAAAACACTCCAGACATTAATCCACACCCCCCATCCTTAACATAAAAAAGGACAAACTCCCCCCTGAATGATGTGAAAATCCCCTCAATGTATGATGTGAAAAATGTGCTCAAAATATGTGCTATGTGCTCTTTGACCTTGTTGAATGTTAAAATATTGACAAATAAATAAGTGGATATATTAAACTCTTGATTGTTTTTCCTTTGGGTGGTGGGGTGGATTTGTCTGGGGGATTTTGTCTGGTTACTGTGTTTGACATGGATACCCTGGACTTAATATTCTACCTAACATCAAATGCTATATAGAGAGAATGTCATTGATGGTGGCATAAAACAACATTCATTTCATTCCACTTCCGTGATATAGCTAGTGGAATAAGAACAATTTTTCAATGTGAAATTTACATGAATTTAAGCATTCTGTTTTCAAAGATGCTGGTAAAAAAACATGATACTGTATTCTAAGAATGAAATGAGCATTGCAAGGCTTCTCCACATTTTAGGAACTTCTTGGAATTCTGCAGCATGAATAAATACAGAACCATTCATGATGAGCCAGACATGTTAGACATGCAATCTCTAAGTCACAGTTTTCTCAAACACTGAATGTTTCAGACTGAATGTCGGTAATAGAATGCCGTCGCTACGACTTTTCGTAGTGAACTGTGCAAAGGAAATGATTGACTCAGAGCAACATCTAGACGGACAGTCAACAGCATTCCGTAATTATCTGTGAATTTACTTCAACAGCCATTTGACATATGTTTAATACCTTTAATGGCACCTTTAAACGATCGGCCAGTTCAGTAACGATGACTGACAATACATATACCAAATGTTCAATGACAGCACTCGCCAACGTTTGGCATCCAGTCTTTGAAGTGTATCATGAATGACCGTCACAGGACCATCTTAACAACAATGTTTACCAATCTATTCATGATATATTTCCAATGCATTTGTTGCCATCAAACTTCAAAGGATGTTGATATAGGTTATTTTGAGACATTTTGTGTCCAATTCAGTTTGTCATATATGGCTGTCAGTGTACGTCATACATCCTAAGTGATAGAAATAGTGCTATAAAACTTGAATATCTCTCTATAGGAGATGATGGAAGAATGTGAGCCAAACATTGTATGTATGTCATTGCAAAAGTATTTATACAGTTGGGCCCTGACACAGTGAATGTTTTTATTCCTATAAACCCACACACAGTTCAAAATTTAATAAAAATCTCAAGGAATATGACCAAATAATGTTAATTTACAAAACTGCATTTTTTTCAAAGTTTTTATAAAGGATTATTTGAGGGAGAAATCAGACTTATTTTATCATTCAAGCTTATATTATGAAATGTATAGTTTGTATCAACTATCTACATACATTTCGATCGAGGCTAAATATATAAATCATCCTTAAAACTAATTTCATGCAAAATTTGCCTCTAATAATTTCACAATTTTAAAACGTAAAAAAATAAATTGTTTTCTCTCAGTATATATTTTGCCCCTGTATTCATAACACTTTAAAATCTTCAGTAACTGACATTTTGTAACAATATTTCAAAGTTTTCATAACTTTAAAGTTTGATGTTTCCAGTGGGTAAAGACCCCATATCACACTTTATCCTCTTCAGTGCTAATGAAATCTTTTGAAATCAATTTTAAAATGATACTTGAAGAAATTTAACTCCCTCTGCTAAAAGAGTAATTATAGAGAGTTTTAGATATAATAGAAAATAGCAATCATGACATTTTGATGAATTTGAAATGGGCATGCATGTCTCTCAAGAGAACAACAGAGTCTAGTTCCTATCATTAATCTTGACATCATGTCAGTCATGGATTGAGAACTGCTGTCAAAACTGAAATTAAAGATTTTTTTTTCTCAAAAATTTGTTAAAGCTAATGCACAATATGCTTCAATATTCGATGATGAATTATCAGAATGCATCAAGGCTCCATGTATATAAGAATTTAGGGGTGCAGTTTTGAACATATTTCTTGTTAACCTGCAAGGATATCATCTTTTTCTGTAACTCACAGTTCATACAATTTATGTAGTTTCAATTAGTTAAGATTCCTTTTATTGAATGCTGTTGCTATATATGTCACCATTGTGCCTCAGTGGTAGAGTAGATAGAGTGTCTGCCAAGAGAGTGAAAGTTGGTGGTTTGAACCCTGGTTTTTATCATACCAAAAGTTGATTGTTTAACAATATTCCAGTGATATGGTGCCGGTCTATTAATAATCAAATCTGAACCAGACAATCCAGTGATCAACAGCATGAGCATCAATGTGTACACATTTGGGATATGATGTCATGTGTCTACCAGCCAGTCTACAAGTCAGCCAGCCTGACCACCCGATCCCGTTAGCTGCCTTTTTATAAAGACAAGCATGGGTTACTGAAGATCATATCTAACCTGTATCTTCACAGGTATCAAACCAAAAGATGTGAAAAGATGGTGCCTGGTCTTAGCATAAGGGTGGTTAATATGATGTGTCTGTATGGTTTAAACTGTGACAGGGTATTGTACTTATTGTACTTAAACTATCCAGTATTACCGTATTTTACCGTAGATAAGCCGACCCCATAGATAAGCCGACCCCCAAACTTGACCCTTAAAATCAGTGTCAACATGGTATGTTTCATACATAAGCCGATCCCCTGAGATGGGGTCCTAATCCTGGCAAACACAGACCACAGACAACTGGCAGTCACCAATAATTATACCTTTGGTCCACATTATTCAAAGAATTCACAATCATATTGTGTCTACTCACGCATTGAAATGAAGTGTAGTTGACAGAAAATGGATAAAATATTTTGTTTCACTAAATATCATACTTATTGTAGCTGGACGATCACATGTCAACAAACTGGCTAGATAAGTACAAGCCCTGATGTGCCTCATACACAAACATGCAGGCACACACCCATGTATGTACCCCTGCATACACACATACCACTGCACACACACATGCACATACCCACACACCCACATACCCATGCACGCACATATGCACATTAATATATAATTGCAACAATCTTCAAACAACACTGACTCTGATTTCACTTCACCTCACATAAATGCATTCCCATGAAGTATTTAATGCTAAAATGGGGCAGTGTGGTAGCCTAGTGGTTAAAGCGTTTGCTGATCATGCTGAATACCCAGGTTCGATTCCCCACAAGGGTACAATGTGAAACCCATTTCTGGTATCCCCCGCCATGATATTGATTTAATATTGCTAAAAGTGCGGAAAACTAAACTCACTCACTCACTTTAATGCTGAAACAGTGTGCACACAAAGTCAGGTTGCAGAAGCTGTAACAATTCATTGTGCAATTCCCTTAGGTCTGCCAGACTCTCATCATTGCCGGTATCAATTTCAGATTTGTCCTAATTATGACTACCAGCTGGTGAATCCATACCAGTGCTTATGAGTTTCATGAAAATAAGAAACAAGTTCAGCTGCAGGGCTTTTACCCCATATCAATCCAAAACACCATAATAAAACTGGAAAGCAGTTACCTATGGTAACACCAGCATTAAACCGTAGTTCAATCGCTAATGTTGAAATTCTGCAGGACCAATAGGTTTCAAAAGACATTATTTGGCATACGAACATAAACCTTTTATGATTTGTTATTCACTTTTCTATTTTTTAGGAGAATTGAAAGAGAGAGAACAAAAATTCTGAATAATGGCCAGATTGCATAGAAATTTTTAATTGGGTTTATTTTTTGTAAGAGCATTTGACTAATCACCATTTGCCAACTTTAAGTTCTGCCTCTACAAACAGATTAAGAGGTTTGCCTAAAAACTTGGCACAATAAATAGAACAAAACGATAAGCTTTCAAGATAGAAGCAAAACAAATATGTTTGTTTTTAACAGGCAAGAGCATCTTAATTCAAAACTTTACATTGGATTGGCACTTTAAACTTCTGCTGTCCAGACTAATTTCAAGATGCTTATCAAAATAAGAGTTTAAACACAAAATCTGTCACAATGCCCCCAATTTTTATGCTCAAATTAAAAGGCAAAACAAAAACACTGCCCACTGTAGACTCAGCTACAGAGTGTTAAAAGGCATCATTAATTTTTCAAGAAGACTTATGCTGGCAGCAAGACGAAGATGAAGCTAAGTGGCAATGGCTGGAAGGTCAGAGGAAGTTGAGTTGGCACCTTGGCATATCAAACTGTCAAAAAAACCAACCCTGCTATAAAGCTGCATAGACCAGCGTATTCCACAAACTGCCTTGTAGACCTCATGCTGGAAACGTGTCAATCTGGTGTCACAATAAC